AGAGCAGCCAGTAGTCTTAACCAATGAGGCATCTTTCGAACTTCGTATCAGAAACATTTCTAATAGATAAGTTTATGTACCTCCTCCTGCCTTTGGTTGTGGCTTTTGTATGCGTTGTCTCATTTAGCCCTCAACACAATGGAAGAAGTTGGGTATACCATCCCACCATACCAGCCATGTGTTTTTGTCCACACTCACAGAGCAAGGGATGGCTGGGCTGAGATTTAGATTTAAAGCCCATTGCAGGGCTATATACATAGTTCCTATATATAATTATACTCCACATGAAACAGCCCAAATTTTCTGAACTTACCTCAGAAGACATGATTCCAGCCTGGAAGATAAGCTCAGCAGGCTAAGGTGTCTGCCACTAAGCCTGTTGACTTAAGTTTGATCTCAGGACCCCACATATAAAGAGAAAACTGACTCCTACAAGTTGTCTTCTTGTATGCTTGTCTCTCCATATGCTTGCTATGTACATGTGTAAATCAAATAAATGTAACTTAGAGAAAAAATTTAAAGACACGAGGCCAGGTACAGGTATGTTGATGCACGCCTTTAATCCCAGGTAGGGGATCTCTATGAGTTCAAGGTCAGCCTGGTCTATAGAGTGAGTTCCAGGACAGCCAGGCCTGCACATCTTGAAAAAAGAAAACAAAACAAAAACAAATACAAACCACGTTCCTGGACAGCCAGGACTACAGAGAGAGCCTGCCCTTGGAGATACGATTCATGGTGCTTTTGCTCGCTCATCACTTCAGGGTGTGGTCTTGCTTGTAAAACAGCTTCAGTTATAGTGATAACAGTGTCCTGGCTGGTTTCAGTCACTTGAGGGCTTTGGTTTTTTTGTTTGTTTGTTTAAATTAGAAACTTGCTTGCTTCACATGTCAATCCCAGCTCCCTCTCCCACCCCTCCTCCCTTGTGAGGACTTTTGTTTTTTAGGTAAGGTTTTGATTGTTGTTTTTTGCCTAGCCAAAAAATTTAGAATAAGACAGGCTCAGCTGTCCTCTGTGATACTTTACTCTCTTGGCGTGGCATGACTGCATGTACTGCAGTTTTTAAAAGCTTTCATATTTATGACGAGATTTTTTGTTTTATTTTTTTAATTTCATTTTTAATAGACTTAGTGATTAAAGTGTTGGTACATTTTTTCTGTATTTGAATAAAAACATGTAGTGGCTGTGATTTATTTTTACTTTATTTGGGTTTTGGGAGTGTTGTTATTGTTTTGAGACAGGGTCTCAACTATGTTAGCCTAGGCTGACCTGAACTTACTCTATAGATCAGGCTAGTCTTGAACTACATATCCGCCTGCCTCTGCTTCCCTAGTACTGGGATTAAATTCATGCACTACTACCTCACCTGGCCCATGGGTTTTGTTTTGTTTTAGATAAATGCATTTATTTGCAACATGTGATTATCCTGTTTTAAAAGTCTTTTTTTTTAAAGTCCAAGTTTAGAGCTGGGCGGTGATGGCACATGCATTTAATCCCAGCACTCAGGAGGCAGAGGCAAGCAGGTCTCTGTGAGTTCAAGGCCAGCCTGGTCTACAAACTTAAGAGAGAAACCCTGTTTCAAGAAGTCAAAAAATAAAATAAATCCAAAATTAAGATAGTTCATTTTTCCATGGTGTTAGAAATCTTTACTTTATGTTGCCTTAGGGACTAAAGTAACTAGATGATCACTAAGTTTTTTTTTTAAAGAAAACATAGAATTAATGTGAAAATAAAAGAACCAGGATAAATTACTGCCTGAATAAATGTACCCCTAGCCCCGGCAGGAGGGAGGGTCATTGAAAATTTAAACCATGACCTCACCTATGCTATTAAGCACTGTGTCACTAAGCTATAGCCCTAGTTCTGACTAAGTACTTTTTAGACATCTTTTCTGAATTGTTTTTGAAATATTAAGCAGGGCATGGTATACATACCTGCAGTCCCAGCATTTGGGAGCAAAGCTAAGACAGAATTGAGACAGGATCACATAGTAAATTTAAGGCCTCTCTAAACTGTAGTGAGACAGTGACTCAAGAAAAACCAAATTAATTATTAAGTTTGTAAAACTATAAAGAAAATAGATGGTAGGGGCAAGGAGTGGGGCGAGGGGAGGGAAGAGGAGGGTTTAACAATCCAAGGACAACACCGGAGCATTTCTAAGGGTGACCAACCTGTTGTGAAACGTAAATGTGATACCTCAGCAATCCACAGAGGGTTCCTGGCTGAGAACTAGATTTCTGAAGAAAACCCTGGACCTACGTTTAAGCATTCCCTGGCTGCATGGCTGTGGGTGTTTACCCAAGTGAGTCAGACAGTGCAGTAGGAGCGTTTAATTGTATGCAAAGTGCACATACTTCAGAAAAGTTGGCTTTTAAAAGTGAAAGTCATGTGACAGTTACAGAAGCACCCCACAGGGTGGGGCCAAGAGTTCATTATCAAGGATGCATTTACTCTGTCTAGACTAAAGGAGGCTATAGTGGAGAAATGGTAAGATTGACCATCCCTGCTTGGCCAGAACATGCTGAGCATGGTGTGGTGACCCAGCGTCCTCATCTTACAATGGGATTACTAATTTCCTGCCCTCTAATCTGCTGGGCTTGTAGTAAAGATTTAAATGACAAGTTAAAGGACAAAACACTTTTCAAATTAGAAGCTTAAAAAAAGAAAGAAAGAAAAAAAAGACCAAAGGCTTTGCCTGTACCCACTCTAGTTGCTTTCTCTCTCAGGAATATTTAGAAGGTAGGTGGGGAAGGTGGGTGATGACTGAGCGCAGCTTGGTCCAGCCTCTCACTTCCGGCTATTGCCAAGTGGAACTCAAATCTATGTGTTGTACTTACTGATTGGTGAGCACCCTGTGGGCCCTAACTCTGTGCCAGGCCGAGTGGTGTGCTGTGTTGACACAGTGTAATTAGGATGTGTTCCCTACTCTTTAAGGCATGGGCCACTGTGATATAAGGTAACATAAGAGGGCCATGAGGGAAGTCAGGCCCAACGGTAAAGGAACAGCATTCAGAGCAGTTCAGTTTAGCTTGGGCCTTTGCAAGAGTCAGAGAAGCCAGCAGCATTCTGGGGCCTCGTATGCAGCTCATCTCTAGAATAAGCCTTTTCTCCAGCACCGTCACATAATGAACAATTATTTGGTGCTAGGGACTGTGCAAAAGATCCAAAAATAAATTTTCTTTGAACCTACAGTTGTCATCATTCTTCTGGGCATTAAATAAGTATTGTGTTAGAATATCAGAAGTGCAGTCTGTGTTAGAATACCAGAAGTGCAGTCCGTGTTAGAATACCAGAAGTGCAGAATGCAGGTATGAGAGTGTCACTGTTTTGAATTGCTTCATTCTTGGATGAGATGAGCAGTAAACAGCCTGTCATCTCAGTGAGATTGAGGTGACAAAGAGGTAGCCTGGGCTCCGGGAAGGGCAGAGGTGCTTTTACTACCAAGACCACACAGCCCCTCCAGGGAGTTATGCTCCCCACTCGTGTATCCCATTCAGTCAGTTCCCTGGTTAAGCCAAATTCTGTAACGCTTGCCACCTGGCCATCTCCAGGCACTGCGTCTGCTGCCATTCCTGGGACCTGAAGAGAATGGCTTGAACAAAGGCCACTGAGGATGAACCTCACCTCTCTGCTAACAGATAGTGGAAGCTGATGTTGCCACTGGGAATCAGCTGCAGAGTGTAACTGTTGCCTTTGTCAGCTAGCTGCCTGGGACCCAGTGTCCTCCTTAGTGGTGTGTAGGCCAGCAACAACCAGAGCTGACTGGCTTGTGCCCTGTGGCCATGTCTGGGGTAGGCCTGTAGGCTAACAGGTGGCAGACAACAAATTTCGTATTCCCTTTTAGGTAACTGAACAGCTTTCTACCCCATAAAGTACACATCCTGAGCTGGGCGTGGTGGCACATGCCTTTAATTCCAGTACTTGGGAAGGAGGGGCAAGCTGATCTCTGAGCTCAAGCTAGGCAAGCTATGGCTACATAGTAAGACCTTATCTCAAAAAAAAAATTCATTAAAAAATGAATAATAAAACCACATTTTGGGCCGGGTGATGGTGGTGCATGCCTTTAATCCCAACACTTGGGAGGCAGAGGTAGGCTGATCTGAGTGAGTTCAAGGCCTCTAGATGTGTGCTACTACCACCCCGCTACTGTTTAGTTTTGAAAAGGAAGGAAATTATGACGAATGCTACAACATGGAGGAACCTTGAAGACATGCTAAGTGAAATAAGCCAGCCACAAAAGGACAGATGCTATATGCTTCCTCTTCCCTGAGGCTCCTAGCCTGGTCAGATTCATAAAGACAGAAAGTAGAAGACTGTTGCTAAAGGCCAGGGGAAGAGAATGATAGGGAATTGGTGTTTCATGGGTGAGTTTCTGTTGGAGAAGATGAGAAGTTTCTAAAGGTGAGTGTTGATGATGGTTGCGGGATGGGAATGCACTTATTGCCACTGGCTGATCACTTAAAAATAGTTTAAATGGTAGCCATCTATTTTACCACAATTTAAACAATGGTAATGCTTTTTTAAATAAGCATTAAAGACAGTTTTTAAGAGGAATAGAAGCCTCAAACTGGTATTCTATGGCCCACTTAGAAGATTAGAGCAGCAATTTAGCCTTGTTGGCTGAGGGCCTGGGACTTTATGGGATTCAAGGGCTTCTGTGTCTCCCCAAACTTGTTTATACCACCTGGTATAACTATTTTTTCTTCTGTCTTAGCCCAGGTGCCTTAGATCTTAACACAACCCCACCCCCAACTGATGAGGTAGTAGTGGTAATGCTGTTGGCCTTACTTTTATGGGGCATCTGTACACAGCATGGTAATTTTCCACTCCAGTCCCGTCCCAATGTCTTTTTTCTTGGTTTTTGGGGGGTGCATAGCAGGTGTCCTGGGACTGTGCCAGCAGCAGCTGACCTACTGCCCCAGAGAGCTGAACACTAGGTGGAAATTTCCACAACTTTCTTGGCCCCCTGTTCTCAGGAGTAACTTACCCTCTATTCTCTGTAGGTTTTCTTTTCTTCTGCCTGCAGTATTGCTGTGGATGCCACCCTCAGGAAGAAAGCAGAAAAGTTCCAAGCCCACCTGACTAAGAAGTTCCGGTGGGACTTTGCTTCAGAGCCAGAAGACTGTGCCCCAGTGGTGGTGGAGCTCCCTGAGGGCATCGAGACTGGCTAACTGCAAATCCTCAAGCCAGGGAGACCCCTTCCCACATGACTACTACCCGGTGTCTCTGCTCATCCGTCTTCCTGGGACCCTCCAGCATAGCGACCCAGGCAGGTCCTGTAAAGATGGAGCCAGGATCCCTCTTCACCAGTATATGCATCCCTTTGCTGCAAAAACAGATATCGTGACTCCCTTTAGCCTGGCCCGGGCACTTAATTTCAGAAAAAGGCCCTTGTAGAAGGTCCAGGTGAAACTTGCCCTGCAGCAGTCTAATTCCTTCTGACAGCGGAAAAAAATTTAAGTCTAAAAGACTATGCTTCGTCCCTAACTGGTTAAAAGAAGAAAGAAGAAACCTGTTCCATCCCAGGGTCTGAGGGTTAGTTGGTGAATTGTTAAGTTAAATGTAGGTTTGAAGTTGAATGTGGTTTATACAGAACTTCTGCCTGCTCCTTGTTTTTGGAAGGAGACCTGCCAGGAAATGGGCCACTGAGCTCTCAGAAGCCCAGCCTGGGGAAGGGCGACCAGGAAGATGGTGTGCTGAGCCTGACAAGTGGTCAACTTCAGCTTCAGCTTCCTCTCCCAAGGGCCCTTCTGCCTAGAGACCCCAGGGTTGATATCCAGAATTGGCCCTGTTCTTGGAGCTTCCGTTCTGAGGCCTCACACCATGACTTTTTCTGATGACGTGGAAATTCAACAACAAAAGGAAAGGTTCTTGTCAGTGCTTCTTAGTTCTGTTAAAGGTGGGGCCTGTGCTTCAGTGCCATGGAGGTGACTGGGTAGCTTACCCTCCCAGCCCTGCTGTGGGGGGGGGGTCATCAGCTGTCACATCCCTAGCATTAGGGAGTCTTGAGGGTGTACCCACTGTGCTGTGTGGACAGAATTCTGCCTCAGGAAGGGCTCCCAGGCCCTTCACACTGACCTCAGGTGGCATGCTGTGCTCTGGGATCCCAGAGCTGTCCTCTTCCATCCTCTTCCGAGGCTCAAGCTCCCAGCAGGTCTCTGAATGGGAGTCCTGCTGCTAAGACTTTCGGTTCCTCTTGTTTCCTTGGAGATGTTTTCCAAGAGCAGAATGTACATTAAAGTCTTTGAGTTGGGACTAATCCCCCTGTGTGAGTCTCTAACAGCTAATCTGCCCTGTTTCCAAAGTAGCCAAGCTGTTGGCCATAGACTACGTGTCTACCTGCAGAGCGCACCCAGGAGACCCAGCTCAGCCCAGCAGTCTCTGGTGAAGGCAGGCAGACAGCTTGGTCTCTGTTTCCAGTGAGACAGACACACCCTGTCACTCTCTATTAACCTGAACTTTCATCCTCCTTTTCCTCAAAGCCCACTCATCAGAACTACCTGGGGAATGTGTTCAAAGTGCAGATCCCAAGAAATGAAGTTCTGATGCTGCAACGTGGATGAACCCTGTGCCTAGGGCTGGGGAAATGGCCCAGTGTGTAAGTGCTTGCTGGACAAGCATGAGGACCTTCAGATGCCCAGAACTCCTGTAAAAAGCCAGGAGCAGTGCACAGCTGTCATTCCAGTGCTGGGGGTGGGGCGTGCTTTCTGAGCAGCCGGTTAAGCGAATTGGTAAGCCCCAGGGTCAGTGAGAGACCCTGTCTCAAAAATAAAGTGGAAAGTGATTGAAGAAGACACCCAGTATCAACCTCTGACCTCCACACACTTGCACACAAATGTACCTAACACATATACCACATATTTACAAACATGGAAATAACATGTGCTGAGGGAAGGAGACCTAATAACAAGCATTGGACATGGGCAATATCCAGAGTAGGAAAATCGGGAGAAACAAGAGGACCACCGGCAGTGTACACTTAGAAACAATGTTTGTGGTGTGATGCTTGTGAATGTACAAATTCCCATCTTACTCCACAGGCTTCAGGGGCTTGAGTTCTGAGGTACACTCAATTTTGAGTGACATTTTTAAGCAGTAACAGATCTCATACTTGATGCCCAGAGCACTTCTGGAACAAAATTTGTCTCACACTGTCATTGTGAAGGTAGCACCTTGAAGTTGGATCATTCCCCAAGTGTTCCTGTGTCTCCCCAGATGCCCCTCTTTATATACAAGAGTAGCTGCTGTTTGAAAGCGCTCTGTTCTGTTATCTCACTTAATCCTCACAGCAGTGTGCATCAAGTCTATAACCGTCAGTAATCCCCGTTTGACTTGTATGAAAATGAGCTCAGAGAACATCACTTTTCCAGGGCCACACAGCAGTAGGTATTGACAAGAGTCAAGCCCGTGCTCACTGGTACCCATAGCCCACTGCTGTCTTCACGGCTTTGATTTACTCTCGCTGCCCTTTTCTGTGAAGGGCAGCCTTCCCTTCTACCCTGCCCTCAGGTCCAGGCCTTGGCTTTGCTGACTAGCATCTTTGTGACCTTGGACAAACTGGTTTTTGGGCCTAGGTCTCCTTATTTAGAAGAGAGTTAGCTTGGATTTAGGAGTTCTGATACAAATTTTTCAGGATCCTCCAAGTATTAAGAGTTGGTCCTGTGTTATTTTACAAGTTTCAGAAGGGAAATTATATTCATACAGGACAGTATGTCTGGGGCATGGAACAACAGGTCTCTTGTTTGAAGCAGAAATGATAGAATGTTGGCTCTTTGCATGTCCCAGTTGGCAATCCTGTGTCTCTCTCTGTCTGCTGTTCTTGTGTGTGTGTGTGTGTGTGTGTGTGTGTGTGTGTGTGTTTTACATGTGTATGGAGGTCAGAGGACAACCCTGAGGAATCGACTTTCTCTTCCCAACATGTTGGTCTAAGGGATCAAGGTCAGTCCTCCTGTTTGATGAACAAAGAATCTGAAAACAAGCTAATTACTATTTAATGCTTGTAGTGTTTATGGAAGAGAAGCCGTTGAAGTAGAGTCACCATGGCTGATCTCAGAGCTCTTTTTCAGCTTCAACACATCCAGGAGTGAAGCTGTTGGCAAGACCTGACCTGGTTTTCAAATCTCAAATGCAGGCCTCCTGGTGTCTGGCTTGTATTTGCGAGGCTGGGTTAGCGTATTAACAAAATCAGTGGCAGCAAACACTTGCCAACCCCTCCTGCCAGCCCTGTGACAAGCCCTTCTTTCTTGGAGCCTAGATCTCACGGTTCACCACTTGAGCAGTGGAAGAGTTCCCTGCCGTTGATTGCCTCTTACCATCAGTAATTATGTCCCCAAAGTCATCCCTTGTAAATATTATTTAATATTCCCAGGACACTGTGACATGCTGGTCTCTAGCTAATCAAACATTGGCTTGACTGAGATGCCATCCCCTGCTGAAGTGATTGGAAACAGCCAAAGTCAAAACCAACACTGAATCACACCTGCAGATTCAAAGCAAGGCATGATGGTAACACCTGAGGTGCCAGGAATCCCGGAGCCCTTGTGGTCCTTAATCGTCTCTATTTCCTGTTGACCAGACAGCTCAGATCTTATGTCTCCCTCCCCTGGGCAGGATTAGCCACATTAGACCCAGCTGGACCTTCCTTGCTATGAAGTGACTAAGGTCTGGGTCCTGGCGCTTCCTCCTGCAGAGTCCTGGGCTCCTACCAGGGATGTCCTGCTGTGGTGTGGGATAAGATCAGAAATCAAGCCTGTTACCAGGGACTGTGCTCACTGTCCTGGTCCTGCCTTTAGCCAGGCCTGCTCCATCCTGGTTCATTGTGGCAGTGCGTGCAGTATTCTCTGAACGCAGGCTCCAGGGAGGTCAGCCTCTTCCACAGCAACACCTCTCAGCTGTCTTATACCCAGGACCTGGCAGAGTCCATGGGTTCCCTTGTCTTGGATCTTTGGCTTCATCCTTCCCCTCTGTCGCTTCCCCAAATGTTTATTGGATGCTGACAGACCTACATCTTGAAAGCAAACCTGAAAGAAATGCAGGGCCTTCACCAAAGAGCAGGCGGGGTCGTGAGGACAGCGTGGGGAATGTGGAGGAGGTGTGCATACTGAGCATAGTGGGGAGAGGCCAGAGGCACGGTCAGCCCACTCATCCCGCCTGCCCTTCACCGGGGCGTGACACATCCCAGGGCTTTCCTTCCAGGGTGGGGAAGGAAATATTAGCAGTGAGCTGGGTAAGAGAAATTAAGGTTCTTTCATTTGAATGGGGTAGTTTTTGAGCATAGATCAGGAAGGAACAAATGAGGTGTTTGGAGGACGCTTTCTAGGCAGACGCAGAGGAACACAGGCCCTGGGACCAGGGGTGAAGATAAGCAGAGGAGAGTGGAATGACCAAAGGGGAATGGTAGAAGGAATGTGGTTGGAGGGGACCAGACTGCCCCTGGCTTAAAGGGCTGCTTGTTGTAGTTGAGGCGTTTAGGTGGAAGAAAGACACGAGCTGACGGGTTTTGTCATCACTGCAAGCCGCTGTGCTGGACACAACCGTAGTGGGAAGGGTGGAAGCGGGGAAAACTTGGAGGAGTTAGCGCCACTATCCAGGGGAGAGCTGACCCTGGTGGCCCAGTCAGGGTGACAGCAGCACTCACTCCACCTGCCCTGTGTCTTGATTCAGTTACAGGAAGGAAGACCGGGCACCTTCAGAAGGCCAGGCACCCCAATTTCTCCGACGTCACACACTACCTCTGTTATCTGCTCCCCCGGCTTCCCTCCCCGTGGACTCTGACAGCCCTTCGGATTCTCACAGATCTGTGGAAAGTGAGGCAGTGAGGGAGTGCTGTGAAGTCTGTCCTGTTCTGGGGGACAAGATGGCAGTGGGGGACTCAGGATGGTTCTGTTGAGAAGCACTAGTAAGCCAGGCCCTATAGGCTGAGGCCACACCTGTGTGGATGTTCCTGAGGGGCACCGAGGAAGGTCTCTATAGGACTAACAGTTAAGCTTCCTGGTCAAGAGCCACCAGGCAACTCCTCTAGTAACGGGAGCTAGCACGTGTTAGGGCCCTGCTCACTGGACACTGCCCTCACCTCCTTCCTCAGCCTAGGGCACCAGAGCTTGAGGGACAGTCTCATCCTTCCTGCACAGAGAAGGGAGCCAAGGTCAAAGCAGCAAGGGCATGTCCTCTCAGCCGCCTGCCCCGCCACTCTACAGCACTCCTCAGAGAAAGGAGCGTGATCTGGGATGTATTCAGAGGTTCTGAGGCTGCCCGCCTGACAGTGCCTGAGTTGTCACGTCCATACCCCATATCCAGACTGAGGGCACACTGCACCAGACACGGGAGGAGGGAACAGGGTCAGACCCAGAGAAAGTGCTGTCTGCCTGCTCCTGTGGACCTCAGCCTACCAGGGGGCTGCCTAAGCTGGTATGTCCATCGCGGAAGCCTCTTCTCCCACAGGCCTTGTCCCACCAGAGTATCTGGAGAGTTTTGCAGAAGGTTCTTCCTTCAGAGAAAGAAGCAACCTGATGACACCATGGTCAGGTGACTTCTAGAGGGAAGGGCTTCTTTGAACTTACGGTTCAGGATGGATGAGCTCATCACCACCACTCTAAGCAGGGAAGAGAGTGAATGGGGAGTGGCATGTGGCTCTCCAAACCTCAAAGCCCACCCCACTGACACACTTCCTCCTGCCACACCCCTAAACCTCCTCAGTGCCACCAACTAGAGACCAAATACTCACTTTCTGGAGACCATCAGGGATATCTCATTCAAACCACCACAAGGGGCTTCTGAGGACTGAACCAGTGACCAGAGGGTAGCCTCTGCTGCTCCTCAATAAGGCAAGCACTGGTGTTCCAAGTGGAGCCGCGTGAGCTGGGGACCAGGCTGTGGTGGTGACAGGAGTCTCTATCGGAAGAAGGCTGTATGTTCTTCATCCTCTTGGAAAGTGTCTATTTGTACATTTTTCTACTGGTGTCTTTGAAAATACACACTCACCTTATAAATGCCCTTTTATTTATGTATTTATTTTGAGACAGTGTGTCTCTAAGTAGCCCTGGCTGGTGTGGAACTCACTATGTAGACCAGGCTGGCCTCAAACTCACAGAGATCCACTTGTCTCTGCCTCTGTCTCCCAAGTGCTGGAGTTAAAGAAATCCACCACCAAGCCCAGCCGAACTATCTTAACCCTGTAAATGTAAGTGCCAGTCACTTTGCAGTTTTGTGACGTTTGTAAGTACATGCTTTCCTTAGAGCCACATGTCAAAACTTCCCTTCCGATCTGACTTTCCCTTACTGTAATGCCTGAAAGTCCATTCCCATCTCAAGATGAAGTGCACATTAACCTGTATTTTGTTCTAGTTTTCCCCAGTGCTGTTCTGTTTCTTTTGCCACAGTAGAAGCCCTGCCCCACAGCCCTGCTCTGGCCAGCCCGTGCTGCCTCACACTCAGGTCTGTTCTCCGTTGTTTCTTCCCACACTAAAGTCAATTACCGTGTCCCACACCTCTGGCCTGTCTTTCCCTCGGCTACAAACCCCTGCCATCCCTCACGGCATTTACAGCCTGAGCACACACAGTCAGCCCTTGGGCCTGCAGTCCGGAGGTGTGCAGCCTGAGCACACACAGTCAGCCCTTGGGCCTGCAGTCCGGAGGTGTGCAGCCCTCCTGATGCTTCCCCATATCTTGCTCTAAGTGGGTAACTAACATATTGAGTGGAAGATGTTCTCTCTCTTCCTCTCCCTTTCCTTCCTCCCTCCAACCATCTCTCCCTCCCCCTCATGTCTCCACAAAGACTCTCAGAGTGTCCAGTCTCCAGTGACTGCTGTTACTTCAGGCCATCAGCTCATTTCACCGGGTTAACTTGGATGGATAGTGTGAGACCAGGTGGCCTCTTCCATGGTATGCTCCCTTTGGAAAGTGCAAAAAGACACCCGCGTCTCTTGGAGTCACATGCCACCAAAAGCCTCTCAGTTGGCTATTTGCCCCCCTAACAGAAAGCCCTGTACCTGAGTTGCGTTTAAGTCCCACACAGAAGGAAGCTGACCCAAGAGTGGGCAAGAAAGAGCTAACAAACAGCATTGGAGCACCAGGACTCAGCCCTGTCTGCAGCAGACAAACCCAGGCTTCCTTCTGCGTGAGCCAACAGGACGCCTCTTAATGTAAGCCCCTTTGTAACAGGCTCCTGCTCGCTGAAATCCCATCTCTGGGAGGAAGGATGGGCACTCTCATCCAGGGGGACACTGAGCAGAAAAATTCTTCTTCAAGACAAAGGAGCCCGACCTCAGAAGAGAGGTGAACAGAAATGAGTGAGGTGGGCAGCCTAGAGCGACAGTACCCACTGGCCATTCCGCATGGGGGCAGAGCAGGAGTCCCAGCTGAGACGCCCCTCCCTTGGACTGCAGAGTCTGACGATGTCAGGAGTTGTAAGGGGCCTGCAGCCAGTCTCACCCTATGCATGGGTAAGCTGCAATCCCAAGAGGGAAGACAACTTTGTCACGTGGTGACCACAAATTGTTTCCTGCCCAAGCAGCTCTCCTATCGGCAGCCTGGACAGTGCTGCAGACCACTGTGCTGGCTCTGGAGGCCTTGGTGGCTATTGGTCTGTTGTTTTTGGCTATGCTATCCAGACACTTTCTGTGTGGGAAAGAACTGGGCCGAGGCACCAAGACAGCTGCTGCTCTTCCCGATTTATTGGCCACTATGGGGAAGGCCAGCAGCAGGCAAGACCAGGGGCTCTCAATGCCAGCAGCAGGCCCAGAGACACTAAGGAAGTCTCTAGTGTCCATACAGCCGTGGAGCCACATGCTTGGGTGAGCCTACAGCAGTCTGACTTCACTGTCGAAGGTCTTAACCCCTGCATCCAGGGATGCAGATGTCAATGCCAGCTGGGTTCAGCAGGCCCAGAGGGTGGAGGGCCCTGTGCACCGCTAATCCACTCCACCCTGTTAGAGGCAAGTTCCTGAGAGCTATTCGTTTTTCAAGAGAAGCTGGGAATCTGGGTTTTTATGTGAAACTTCTCTATTTTTACATGTTGGCAACAAATTGAGATTTCTAAAAAAAAAAAAAAAGCACTGTGTAAGCCAACCAAAGCCTCATTTGTAAGCTAGTGGGTTGCTACTTTCTGCCTAACTCTATGCTTTTCCTGTAGTGTCCATCTGTCTGTCCTTCCTGTAGTGTCCAGCAAGAGGACAGGCTTTTCTGGTTCTAAGTGGATCCACCTCTGGTCTGCCCTGGCACCCATTGACTTCTGTGTATGCTCTAGAGGCCTGCCTAGACCATGAACAGTGGTGGGGCGGGGCCTTCGAGGCAGGGCCTTTGGGGCGGAGCTAGGAGAGCAGGTTTCTCAGGTAAGCAGGCTGAGGAGCCAGTGAGTGAGGCAGTTTTCGTGGCTCCACCCCACGGTTCTCCGGAAGGAAAGCTCATCAGTGGCACTTGTTCCGGTGCCTTGTTCAGCCGCAGGCAAGCTCGTCTTGCCACACCGGTGCTGTCCTTGCTATGTGACTTGCTAGGGGAAACAGGTGTTAGGATGTGAGCCCAGCCTTGTCTGCTGATAGTGCTGGGGAGGTGCCTGAGCCTCCGAGGCTTCAGCCTTCCTCTGTACAATGGGAGTTGAAGCAGCTCTTAGGATAAGCAGCAACAGCCAGCTGTGTACAGATGGGAAACGTGCCGTATACAGGTGGTTAGGCTGCATTCCGAGGACTTGGTGGGGCTCCTGGACTCGGATCCTCAGCCTCTCTCTGTCTTCCTTCCTTCCTTCCTTCCTTCCTTCCTTCCTTCCTTCCTTCCTTCCTTCCTTCCTCCCTTCCTCCCTCTCTCCCTTCCTCCCTCCCTCCCTTCCTTCCTCCCTTCCTCCCTCCCTCCCTTCCTTCCTTCCTCCCTCCTTCCCTTCCTCCCTCCGTCCCTCCCTTCCTCCTTCCCTCCCTTCCTTCCTCCCTCCCTCCGTCCCTCCCTTCCTTCTTTCCTCCCTTCCTTCCTTTCTCCTTCTTTTTTTGGACGGGGTCTCACTATGTAACTGTCAACTGTCCTGGAACTCACAATGGAGACCAGGCTAGCCTTGAAATCACAGAGATCTGCCTGCCTCTGCCTCCTGAGTGCTGAGTTTAAAGGCGTGTGCCACCACCATGCCCAGCTCAGTCTGGCCACAATTTCTCAGGTCACACTGAACCTTAGATAACCTGTCTGGAGAGGCTGGGAGAGGGCACGGGGAAGTGTCCATCACAGTTCTGTGGGACCAAACATAGACCCAAGATGACAGATCCCGTTCCCTCAGTGGCCACTGGGGCAGTGCTGGTCATAGTGCAAAGGGCTAGGTGATGCTTAGTCTCATCTCTTCCTGTCTCTCAGGGGACAGATGGGGTCTCAAGGACACTGTGTGAGAAGGGATGTATGCTGAGGTTCTCAGGGTACCAGTGTGGGGAGGACCCCATGATTCTCTGACACGGGGCAGAGCTCTTTCTGTTCCAGGGAGGTACCTGGGCAGCCGTCGCCAACTGAAGGAAGCTGCCCTGGCAAATGACCTGTCTCTCTTCCCTCATCTCAGAAGTGGGGAGATGAGCCCAGACTTGGCACAGGCTACAGCTGAAGTCACTCAGCACACTTGTTCCAGGGCCAGAGTCCAAGCTAGTGCCCATTCAGGCTGGTTGCTGCTGCCAGGCTAGAGCTCAGTCCTACTAGATAAGGCTGTCCTATGTGCAAGGTCCTGGAGCTCATCCAAACTACCCCAAGATAGGACCTTCTGCTTTCACCAGAAGCTGTAGCCGTACAAGCATGTTGGAAGCTTGACCTGTGCAATCCAGGGCCTCCTTGTAGTGTTGCTAAAGGGCCTAGGGATTCTCTGTAATAACAGGAGCATTGGCTCAGCCTTCAGCTCCCATCAACCCCCAGCTCCACTTCTGAGAGCTACATGTACCCTTCCCCAGGAGCAGGGGACCCTCGTAGCTCTTCAGTGTGGTGGGCAGAGTTAGGGTCTATGCACCAGGACACACTGAGCTATGGCAATACAAATTCCCTGAGTGGGCTCAGTGCTCCGGGGGCAGGAGCCTGGTTAGAATGAGGAGCTTGCTTGCTTCATTTCTATCCCACAGCCCTGAGATCTGTGCCCAGCTCAGAGGAGAATAAGCAAATGGTCTGCCAGATAATATCCTAACAGCAGCTTCAATCAAGTCCCTGTGTGTGCCAAACTCCTAGCATAGGCCATCCATCATCCCAGGAGCAGCCTTGTGCTGCAGAGGGATCCACACCCTCCCCATCACCTGTTCATCTGCCTGTACATCCTGTTTTGCAGATCTCTCCAGAGCCCAGGATTGCCCTCTAGTCTGAGCCAGTTCCAGCCAGGACAACCAGCTACAGGCTTCCCCTGCATCCAGGACCAGGCCCCTGGCAGAATGGCCTTTCCTAAGCCTCTTCCTATGTCTGGACTTAACCTCCCTGGGAATGGTCAAGGTTTAGCTTTGGAGGCCTCAGAGGGCAATAGTAGGAACCCTAGCAGTTCCTCATTCCCATAGACCCTGCTCCTCAGCACACACACAGATGGTGGGGCAAGAGTTTGGCCTAGAGTGGTGATCTGGAGACTTGTCACTTTGTATATACAAAGGTTACCTTCATGGGGAATGGGGAGGCTTGGCCTTCTATGTCTAAGCTGGGAAATATATCCCTAAACCCCTGATGAAGGATTCAGCTAGAGATAGTCTTTGATTATTTAGGGGATTGATTGATTGATTTATCTGTTTATCTATCTATCTATCTATTTATTTATTTTTGTGCAGTCTCATGTGTCCCAGGCTGAGGGTGACCTTGAACTTTTGATCCTCTTGTCGCTACCTCTGGAGTGCTGGGATCACAGGCATGCAGCACTATACCCTGTTTTGTTGGTTTGTTTTGAGACAGGGTCTCCATACATACGCTAGGCTGGCCTCAAATTGCTATGTCCTCCTGTCTCAGCCTCCCAAGTACTGGGATTTACAGGCTGCGCCTCGGGCAGCTCAGGCAAGCACAGGCAGCAGCTGCATTGCCAGGGCAAGCTCCAAATCCTAGCAATTTCATGTCGGTGCATTCTCAAGCCACAGTGTACTGAAACCAGAAGCTCTTGGCAGCATAGTTTAGACTCTCTACGACCTCAGAGCTGTGCAGAGGCCCTGGAGATATCTGGTCCAGCTGCCTTTCTAAGATGGTCCAAGAAGCCAGGAGCCTCCAGTGGGAAGAGAACTTGGAGTCCATTCCAGTCCCATCTGAGAAAAGAGTAAAATGAGGTTCAGAGAGGGTGAGTGAAGGGTGCAGGGCTGCACAGCAAGTAAAAGGAGGCATTGAGCCTCTGGTCTTGGCCTTACTGGCTTAGACTCAGCCTCTTCATAGAGGCCTGGAGGGAATGTGGGAGATGAAAGAGGAAGTATTTGGGCTAAAACAAGAACTTTCTGGAGAGCTGTTTTTGAAAAACCAAACCCAAAAGAAAAACGGGAAAGCAGTGGCTTCCCTTGTTTTCCGCCCGCCTTCCTCTGGGCGCTCACTCTGCAGCTCTCACGGCCTCCAGCTCTGTTCGCAAGCTGCTTCCAGCCGCCCACAGGCTTCCTAAAAACGGTCTCTGCAAGCTAATTCCAGAGGGTGAATGGCAGAGAGTGCCCATGGGGAGGGGCGCTGCCTTGGCTGGCGCAGGCGCAGGTGCCGGGCACCTCCGCTGCAGCCCTGACCCCTCCCAGAGGCGCCAGCCTCCTCCATCCTGGAGGAGTACAAGGTCCTGCATCTACCGCGCAAGACCTGGCCTCTTGGTGTAGGTTATTTTCCTTCTTAAAAATAACTTATGAAATTTTAAGACATAGTCATCATAAAATAAACAGGAAGGCAAAAAGAAAAATAAGTAAATGAGTCTGCCGAATGAAGCAGCATCTAAACATCTCCAGGCTTTGGACCAAGCCCATATATAGACAGGCGGATCCTGTACATGATGTTCTAAAGCCCGCTTTGCCTAGCAGTCATGCATCGCGCCCCTCTTTCCTGGTCAACAATTGCAGTTCGACAACGTGACTTTCAGGGGCTGTGTGGCATCTGGCATATGACTATGTCACTCTCTGTTCAACCAATCTATAGCACTGGAAACTGCAGTGTGTGTTCTAGATATTTCTTTAGGACAACTTCCTGGAATTGGAATTATGGGTCAGAGGACACCTCCCCCATGAGTGTGTGTGTGGGGGGGGGTATGTCCTGTGTACTTCCCTTTTTATAGTGACCATATAATGATTACGTAATGAGGAAAAATCAGCCGGGTTCAGTGGTATCCACCTATAGTCCAACCTATTTGGGACACTGAGACAGGAGAAATGTTTGAGCTCAGGAGTTCAAGCAGAGATCAAACAACATATTGAGACCCTGTCTCAAAATGAAAAAAAAAATGTTAGAAAATACTGACAAGGGAAAGCCCATAAATTTCTCCATTTAAAAAAAAACTGTGACTGTGTGTGTGTGACTGTGTGTGAGGGAGAGAGACTATGTGTGTGTGACTGTGTGTGTGTGAGAGAGAGACTAGGTGTATGTGACTCTGTGTGTGTGTGCGTGTGCACAAATGTAGCAGGATTGCACTATGCATGTGTGTGTGCACGTGCGTGCACGTGCGTGCACGAACGTAGCAGGATTGCACTATGCATGTGTGTGTGCGTGCACGAATGTAGCAGGATTGCACTATGCATGTGTGTGTGCATGTGTGTGCACGAATGTAGCAGGATTGCACTATGCATGCTTCATTAAGCTTTGGATGTGCGTGTGCTCAGGTCAGTAGTTTGCACTCCCAGCATCACTTTATGGGCTGCGGCGTTGTGTTGTGCGCTTACCCTGGCAAAACCACTCTCCTTGTTGGGAACTAGACTTCTTAGTTTGCATAAGTATAAATAGCTCGCTAATGGACGTGCCTGGAGAAGCGTCTTTGTTTTTGTCCACTCCTCTTCTTAGGCTCTATGCCCATGACACACTGGATCAAGGAATTTTTCTACTGAAGACCTTCCCTGAGGGCTGCCAGAAGTGTCTGTGACAGCTATTGGTACTGGGAGAGCAAGGCTTCCGGCAGCTGCCACCACTCCCTCTGGCTGACACAGCCCCTTTGCAGTTTTCCCAGGGCCCTCCATTCTTGACCTGAGCAGCAGAGCTAGGACAGTCCCAGAGCTAGGACAGTCCCAGTGCCAATCACAGTGCACAGGTGCGATGACGAGCGAGGCTAAGCCGACCTAGGCGCCGGCTGGAGACGGGCCTGGTTTTAACCAGGCTTTGCCGTTGGTGTATCTTTGTGTTTGCTCAGACCCTCTGGGGTTCCCAGCCAGTCCTTGTGAGATGGGGAGGGGGGTACCAGCAAGATTGGAGCCTACTTCCTTCCCCACACCCAGGGAGGCATCTAAGGACAGCTCTCTGCTCCCCAGCCAGGTTCCCCTGTCACTTGATTGAAGCCGGTTCTCTCTCCTGGCCTCTTCCCTTCCCAGACTCTGCTCGGGCTGATGGAATAGGAGAGAGATGGGAGGACAATGGTGTTCTCCCTCATATGCCCACCCGAGCCCAGGTGTGACCATGAAGGCAGAGTAGTTTCGCTTCATTCATCGGGGGAGATAGAGGGACTTAGAAAAATAACTGAAGACACCCTTGGGCCCTTCAGCCAGGGGTGGGCCTGGGGAGCATGGCACTTAACTGGGGTCAAACAATAAAACAATTAATAATCAACACTTAGGAGTTCGCAGTATATGTGTGGTGCTAGTGACTGAAAAGGCCCTTGCTTTCGGTCTCAAGAGGCGGACGCTCCATTTCACAGATGGAGAGGCAGAGGCAGAAGTGACTAGCCTAATGTCTCAGCCAGCAGGTGGCAGAGCTGGCTTTAGAGCCTGAGACTGTGACCTAGAGCCACAATTCTACTCGGGTTTTTGATCTTTCCAGACACCTTGGCTTCCTAAAAACCTCTCCTCTGGCCTGGATCGGACCCATCCTGTGTGAACCGGGAGACACAGCACACCGTGAGGCAGTCTGCAGCCAATCAAGCCCACTCCCTCCGGCCAGTGTTCCAGGGGCCCTCTGTGACTAGTGCTAGCAAGGTGTTTCTGCAGAGTGGGCAGGACAGTCCCCAGCCAAAGAGGGAATGCAGCTGAGCAGGGACGTAGCAGCCGGGAATGCAGTCCAGAGAGACCGGAAGCTGTAGGGCCACGGACAACTGTGAGCTCTGTGTCCCTCTTGTCTCCACTGTCCCCACCCATAAGGAGGTGACAGGCACCCTCTTCCCTTTGTGAGCACTGTGGAAACCCTCTGTGGCTACAACTGCTGTCACCCAAGGACACCATCAGGATTTGACCCTTTCTGGCCTGAAGTGGCCCTTTTCCAGCTCCATCGCTCTGGATGCCGGTGACAGCAGCGTGATAGTATCGGTCCCTCCAGGAAGAGAGCTGGTGAGCACCTTCCCTAACCCCAGCCCATCCCTGGCTGCTGTTCTTAGTGCCTCCCCATATCACTCATCTCCAGGCGGTTTCCCTCCTAAACTCACTCTGTGTCTCCATAGGAACAGAGCAGGGGGATGGGGAGGGTCCTCCCCCACAGAAGGGAACTTCATCTGGGGGTGTCTGGGAGTGGCTGACTGGAAGTGCCTGCCCGGTGGAACTTCCCCCACTGCCCCCTCCCCTCCAGACCCCTCCACGAACAGCATGTTCCTCTGACTGTTATTTTTAATGCACTTTATCCTGATGCTTAATTTATCCCGCATTGTGATCTGATTTAGCCAAGAGCACTCAGCACTGGGCCTGCATATTCATGAGCCTGTTCATTCATGCTGCCCCAAGGATGTTAGGTAGAGAGGCCTGGATCTGGGGATCTCACTGCAGTAAAGGCTGCCATGGGCCAGATGTTAAGTGCCCAAGCTGCAGCTAGGCAGGCTATAAGCGCAAGTACACTGTGTGTTTGGGAGTGCCACTGCACCCAGGCTCTGGAGCCAAAGTAGATTTAAAGCCTTCTCTGCCATGACTGAGGAGGATGCGTTACCTGAAGCAGTAGAAGGGGTCAGTGTGCCCATTGAAGGATCGGAGGGTTGTGTGGGTACAAGTACGTGCTCACCTATGTGTATATGCCGGTACAGGAGAGAGGCCAACCTCAGGGGCCATTCCTCAAGAACCTTGCTTTGTGACAGGGTCTCTTATTGACCTGGAGCATGCAGACTAGGCCAAGCTGGGCTGGTCAGTGAGCCCTAGGAATCTGCCTCCCCAGCATTAGGGTGACAAGATGCTACCCCGCCCAGCTGTTTTGTTTTTTTTGTTTTTGCGTAGGTTCTGAGATTGAACTCAGAGTCTCACACTTGCACAGCAAGCGCTCTACTGACTGAGTCATCTCCCCAGCCCCACAGTGGTTTGCTTGATACATTTCACTGTCACCATGACAGTTACTATTGAGCAGTGGTTCCTCGTGGGGTTTAGGCTTTACAAAGATGGAACAAGATGACACGAATACTTGGGACTGTGGGGGACACGATGAGCCCCAGGAGGAGAGAGCCTCAGTTTGTCAAAGCAGGATTGGAGGGTCCCGCCTCTGCAGCTCACGCCGTGCACAGGGAGAGGAAGGAAGAAAGCCACCCTGCCCTAGCCGCCTGGTTACTGTACGGGGAGCAGCACGGGCTCCGCCGAGCCACATCAGCACTAGAGGGCTAGCAAGAGCAGATGACTTCTCTGTCAGCTGCCTGAGACCCTGGCAGAGTGCCTTCAAGGGCCTGAGGCAGTAGCCAGAGGTCAGACTTTCAGTCAGGAATAAGGAAATCAGCCAAGTGGTGGTGGTGCACACCTTTAATCCCAGCGTTCAGGAGGCAGAGGCAGGCAAATCTCTGAGTTCAAGGCCAGGCTGGTCTGCACAGTTCCAGGAAAGCCAGGGCTACACAGAGTAACCCTGTCTTGAATGCCCCCCCCACACCAAAACAAGAAAATCAGCAGCTGCCCTTAGCCAGTTACAGGGGTCCCGTCACTGTCTTGGTGAATCTTCATGGCCATGGCGTGAGAGAGCAGTTACTCAATTGCAGATGGAGGCTGAAGTGCAGAGAACGAAGGGCTGGGTTAGCCCGCTAAGTCCATGGGGTTGTGAATTACAGAACCTCTGGTACACTGTTCTCAGGGTGCCCTTGGCCTCTGTGCACCCTCGACCGCTGTGGTCTGTGACTCATGGCTTCACCCACATTTCAGGAACACACCTCGTGACGTTAGAGTATGGCTGGGAGGTCTACCTGAGGCAGTCAGTCCACACGAGTTTAGCAGTGTCCATGGTGCCAATTGGTGCTCCTGAACCCACTTCTTCCTCTCATATTCTGAAGAACCACTTTTTTCTTCCAGACTTTCTTACTATAGGCTCCCTGAGGGTAGGGACTATGTCTGTCTTGTTTATTTGCTAATTATTTCTGTCTGAGGTGATATTTTGGAAGCTACAAAGTGCTGAATATTAGATATTATTCTCTATCTTCAGCCTCGTTCTATAAAGCATTCAAGAGACAAGTGTCACCAACATCGCCTTTGTCGTCATTGCCGTGTGTCACTGTCCACCCTGCTGTGCAGAGCTGGTCTTAGGAAAGCACAGGAGGGTATACAGCTTCCATTCACACAAGGGTGCTAAGAGGCAGGAGGAGGCTGGGCTCCTGGAGCAGATATCAAGACAGCCGAAGACCCTTTGCTTCCCAGTGGGATCCAGCCTGGGTGGCGCTAGAAAGTTCTTTGCTCTTGTCACTTGGGAAGCTTTGACACTTTAGAGACCAGAGGGGCCTAGAGCCTGCAGTCTATTTAAGTGGACTAGGGTAAAGAGGCTGCCACTAAATAACCCAAGGACATTTGAGGTCCTCATTACCTCTACACCGGACAGTGGTTCCTACCTCATTCTTGTCCGGATCTGCAGCTTCTTCCAAGAGATACTCAAGTAGCCCCGGAACCCAGGAGTCTCCAGATGATTGACTCTGAACACAGTGAGTTGAGTCTGACTGCATCAAACAGTTTGTCCCCATGAATGTCATCCCGCCAGCTTGCAGGAACACAGTCGCTGGAGCTCACAGAGCTGGGGTCTCTCTCACCTGCAAACACACATACACAGCAGTAACTGAGTCACCTCCCTGATAGCAGCCTGAGTTCCATGCCACAGCCACCCTCGTGGTCCTCACCATCTGCTTGGCTGGGTGTCTGTGACTCTACTTGGCTCTGCCTAGAGTCTCCAGAATAGAGAGTCCCCAACCCCCATCCCAGAGGGCTCATAGGGCCATCCCCTCTAGGTGGGACAGTCATGTGCAGAAGTGGCTTACACATCAGCTTCCATTCTTCTCCTGGCTTCCTCCTCCTCTGAAGTTAACTAACCACTTGCACCAAACCCTCAGCTCAGGGCCAGCATTTGGGAAACCCAAGCTGAGACACTCCCTCAAACTCCGTGTTTTGTTGCTCTAACACACATTCTCCTTTCATTACATTCATTTGTTATGTATGTGGGGTGGGGCACACACAGTGGCACTCATGTGGAAGTCAGAGGCCATGTGGGTCCCATGGACAAAGTAAAGGCAGATAGTGGGGAGCCAGCTCTGCCCTGACACCTTGGGAGTCAGGTGCAAATCCTGAGCTGAGGATTCTGTTTTGAACCAGGGAGGTGATGATTTACCTTAGAAGTCACTGAGTAAGCACCTACTGTATACTGAAGATTTAGAAACGTAAGAATAGGTATACTTGGTCTGGGCTTACCAAGAGTTTACTGAGGAAGAGGGATTTGTCAACCTGTGTGTGGAGGTTTGAGGTGTGTTCAGGAGAACGTCCCAGGATAGAGCCATTCAGTTCTCTAAGATGCATCATTAAACCCTTGATGTATACAAAGCACTGTGTGGGTGAAGGAGGAGGAGGAGGAGGAGGAGGCGAGAGGTAACATTTATTAAGCTCTGGGTGGCTGCCTCCCATCTTTTACCTCATGCCTTTTCATACGAAGTCCATGAAGTGGGAGCCATTGGTGTCTCCACCACATGGAAGAGGTCCAGAAGGATGATGTAACTCACAAGATCACAGAGCTGGGAGAGAGTAGCAGAGCCGGGCTTCAAGAACCTAGATCTGTCACATTCCTAACCCCCAATACTATTTTTTCCCCTCAAACCAGACCAAGGTCTGTGGCTTTTGTCTTAAACACCCACTGAGTGAACCAGTTTTAAAGAGAACAAACCATGGAAGCAAACCAGGCCAGGCTCACAGCTCCTGCGGGGAAGCACTGCTCCTCAGCAGGGGCTGAGCCTGGCCTGTGACCTGCCTGCAGGAATACAGGACACCCAGAGCTGCCCTCATTTCACCCTGAAGGGCCAGAGAGGGGGGCTGGATGGGAACCCTGCTGTCTTTGTTCGTGGGTCTCAGATATGGACTGATTCAAGGCTTCAGAAATCCCCAGGCTTAGACACATCCCGTGACCTAGCCAGAGGTTGCCAAGGCAGGACCTGACTGATAGCAGGAGGGTGTTCCTGCTCTGGTCAGAAATGGGGACAGACTGGGGCCTTGTTGGAAGTGTTATTGCCTAGTGTACACCAAACCCTGGGTTCTAACTCCAGTGCTGCAGAAAACCAGACATGTAGCACATATCTGATACCCCAGCACTCAGAAGGTGGAGGCAGGAGGATCAGAAGTTCAGGGTCATCCTTTGTTACATAACAAGTTAGATGCCAGCCTGGGCAGTGTGAAACCCAGTCTCAAAATGATACACCTACCTCAATGCTTAGTGCTGTAAACAAACCATCCAGTGTGCTTGCTGACTCAGTGGTCATACATTTGGGCAGGGCACAGTGGAAACAAAATTTTATAAACAGTATTTGGTAATTTGGGCATTGTTCATTCCAAACTACTTCCTACTGTTTGGGGACACTGTCCATATCATGAGGATCATGACAAAGCACAGAAACCTGGCCAGGTCCTTGTTTTTGTAGTCTGCACGGCTGCATCATCTCAGCTGTCTTTGATATTGGATCACTTGGGCCACTGCTTCAGGGGGTCTTGCTTCATCAAACCTAGAAGTCTGGAAGGAATCCACAGCTTTTCATATTCTGTGGAAACACAAGTAAAAACTCTTTCCCCAAGTAACCTGTCCTTATATTTAAATTAGAAGTCAAAGCATTTTTAAATATGTAAGTTGGACTAATTCAGCAGCATTGATAATCAAGTGTATCTTAGCAGTTGTTGTTTCTTCCTTAGCAATTGAACAACTGAATGACAACACAATAGCATACAGTATTCACACTCTGTGTATTTTCCATCTTTACATGGCTTTTTATTTATCTATTTATTATTATTACTCTATTTCTTTTACATTTATTTATTTATTTATTCGTTTATTTCTCCAAGACAGGGTTTCTCTGTGGAAATCCTCCTGCCTCTGCCTCTGGAGTGCTGGGATTAAAGGCTTGTGCCACCACACCCAGCCATTATCCTGTTTCTTTTTCTTTTCCAAGCTTACATATTTTTTTAAACACACTATAAACCTTTTAGAGGCTTTACTTCATCTGAATCTGACTTTACTGTAAATCTTTATAGTTTTCTGGCCATGTGTCTGTGATCTGCTAAACAGCATTGCTAAAATCAAAGCTGCGGCTGTTTTAACTGCTGTCTTTCCAAGATGGCGGGCGTAAGTCTACCACCAGCACTGGTCGCGCAAGTCTCTGCTTGTCTCTATCAAAACAGAGCCCACCCGAGAAAATGCTGCTACCAAGAAGCTGTGCTTCTCTCTGTTCTTCTGTTTCTAAAATCCCTTTTAAGTTTTTGTCATTCTATGTGGAAATTCATGCAGCCAATGTTGGTCGCCATATGTACCATGCATTCTTCAGGCCAGCTTGGTCCTGAGCTGCATTAGTTCCAAATGAACACGCAGGACACTATATTAATTATGAAGCTGTTGGCTGTTTGTGATGGTTTCTTCATGGCTTACTTATTAACCCATAATTACTAATACATATTTTTATAAGGTCTTATCTTACCGAGGACCCACCCTTATTCATCCTCTCTTCCCAGAATCACATGGTGACTTGCTACCCCAACTGCATTTCCCAGAATCCTCCTCGACTCCTAGTCCCACCTATTTTGCTTCCCTAATGGCCAACAGTGTTTTATTTATCAACCAACCAGACAAACATATACATCCCCATCAGAAACCTGTGCTCAGTCATGGTTTCTGACCTGGGCAGACTCAGGAGCCAGAGTGACTTGATGCTGGAGTCAATGGTGTGTCCTCACCCAACGCCCGACAGCTCCACGGCCCTGAGGCTGTTTCTTTCTGAGGAGGGCTAGTTTGAGCTTTATAGCATGGTGGTTGGGCTACAAGAGCAAGAGACCTAGGAGCACCAAGTGTGAGCTGTATGTCCTTTATGACCTGGTCTTGGAAATCACATGGCCACATTACTTCTGCCATAGTCACAGCTCACACAAATGACACAGATCTCCTCTCAATGGGACAGCGTGAAGAACTAGAGGTACCACTGTGGACTTCTTTGGTCACTTAATTTTTTTTTTTTTGGTTTTACGAGACACGGTTTCTCTGTTTTGGAGGCTGTCAGTCCAGCCTGGCCTCGAACTCACAGAGATCCGCCTGCCTCTGCCTCCCGAGTGCTGGGATTAAAGGCGTGCGCCACCAACGCCTGGCGGTCACTTAATTTTCTACAGATGTAAATGACCATTGAAGTCAGCAGGTGGCAGCTGGCATCAAACTTGGACCATGTGGATGAGCAGGTACTTCGAGGGAGAGAGCAATACTGAATAGGCCAGTAGACTGATTAGACGCAGCGTGGCTTGCAGGTGACTTCCAAGATGCAGGCTACAGGACTGCAGTAGCAAGGCCCAGCTGTGCTGGATGGACAGAGGCTTCGTATGTTTGTCTGCTCCGCCATTCATTCACATCCACCCACCTTCTAGCCACTCACTCACCCACCCTCCAGCCTGTCACTTACCCCGCCTCACCTACATGTCTCAGTTACTTCTGCTGTAACTCAGTTTACTCAGCTGTAAGCTATTGTCAACAAACCTCATAGGACTACTTGAAGAGTCAATTAGCCAGTAGTTAGAAAGTATGCAGAGTGGTCCCCACTATATAGTAAGTACTCAGTGAGTATTAGTACTCAGAGTATTACTACTATATGAGTATTTGGTACTCAGTGAACATTACTTATTATTATCACTACTACTATTGTTGTTCATCTTCCATTTTTTTTTCAAGACAGGGTTTATCCATGTGGCCCTGGCTGTCCTGAAATTCAGTCTGCAGACCAGACTGGCCTCAAATTCAGAGGTCTACTCTGTCTCCCGAGTGCTGGGATTAAAGGTATGTGCCACTGCTACCCAGCTTCATCTTCAAATTTACTGATAAATTTATCTACCCACCTGTGGTGGTTTGAAAGAAATACCCCCGCCCCAAGGGAGTAGCATTATTAGGAGTGGTGGCTTTGTCAGAGTGGGTGTGGCTTTGTTGGAGGAAGTGTGTCACTGTGGAGGCGGATTTTGAGGTCTCAAACCATGCCCATTGTCTCAGATCACTTCCTGTTGCTTTCAAGTCAAGATGTGGGATGCTCAGTTACTTCTGCACCATGTCTGCCTGCATGCCACCATGTCCCACCATGATGATAATGGAGTAAACCTCTGAAAATGTAAGTGACCCAATTAAATATTTTCCTTTATAAGAATTGCTATAGTCAGCCAGGCATGGTGGCACATGCCTTTAATCCCAGTACTCAGGAGGCAGAGGCAGGTGGATCTTTGTGAGTTCGAGACCAGCTTGGTGTACAAGAGATAATTCCAGGACAGCCTCCAAAGCCACAGAGAAACCCTGTCTCAAAAAACCCAAAATAATAATAATAATAAATAAAATAAATAAATAAAAAGAATTGCTGTGGTCATGGTGTCTCTTCACAGCAGTAGAAACCCTAAGACATCATCCACTCTTCCATTTACCTTTTTATTTATTCAGCACTTCAGCTGAATCAGATGGACATTTAATTAGTATGAATTTGACAATATCTCTTGTGGGAAACCAATTTAAAAGGCATAGCTAGGGCCAGGTGTGGTGGCACACGCCTTTAATCCCAGTGTTCAGGAGGCAGAGGCAGGCGGATCTCTGTGGGTTCGAGGCCAGCCTGGTCTACAGAGCTAATTCCAGGATAGCCAGGACTATGCAGAGAAACCCTGACTCAAAAGACAAAACCAGCAGTAACAGTAAGTCAGAGCTGGGCAGAGAGATGGCTCAATGGGTAAAGGCACAAGCCTAATGATCCAAGTTTGAGTTCCAGGACCCACAGAGTGGGAGGAGATGCCAACTCCTGTAGCTGTGTTCTCACTGTCACACACGCCCTATGGCACGTGCACGCCCACATGTCCACATGCACATGCATGCACACACACATGCACTAGATCAATAAATGTAAAAATTGCAAATATGTTTTAAAAAGCCAAAACTATTGGAACACATGTCTGTATAAAGCTGGAGAAGCACTTGTTGGAGGAGCACCAGGCAGGCTTTGGAATGCCACAGACTTTAAACTCAGCATTAAGGGATGAGCGCTTGCCTTAGACACACCCAGAAGAAGGACTTCCCAGGAAGAACACGATGTCAAAGTGATAGAAAGAGGGTGCTGAGGAGACATTAAGGAGAGCAGAGGGCACCAGATCTCATTACCGATGGCTGTGAGCCACCATGTGGTTGCTGGGAACTGAACTCAGGACCTCTGGAAGAGCAGTCAGTGCTCATAACCTTTGAGTCATCTCTCCAGCCCTGTCCTTACATTTTTCTAAATAACATTTTAGAGTTCAATTCCTGAATCTAAGGACTATTATTTTCAAACAGTTCTGGAAAGTTCTCTCTAGTTATTTTTCTGCCTATCCTCCATGTACATTAAAAACTAATCTCTTTCTGTTTCTCTCCCCTCTCCCCTTTTCTCTGTTTTCCTTCCATCTCCTCTCTCCTCCCCTCCCCTCCTTCCCCTCTCCTCCACTCCATGTTATTTTTTTTCACATTTCAGATCACGTTTTGCTGTTCACTAGACGTTCACCTGCTGTTTAACCTTTCAGAGTATTACATCATCAATTATATTTGTTATTTCTGAAGCACGGCTTGCTCTTTGTGCAGTCTCCTGCGTCTTGCTTGTTGTTGTAGCTTCCTGTATTCTTTCTCTAGATAGACTGAATGTATTTATTTTACATGCTGGATCCTCCAGGGCCAGTACTGGAGGTCTTGGGGAATCTGACCCTTTTTCTTGTGTTTTTCTGTCTATCCTAAGATGGCTTGTGTGTGCGTGTGTGTGTGTGCGTGTGTGTGTGTGTGTGTGTGTGTGTGTGTGTGTGTGTGTGTGTGTGATGCTTTGAATTTAATTTTGCTTCCCAGTTAGACCTGTACCTCTGGGAACTCACTAAAAACAGCACTGGTATTTGGGGGAGAGTTGATTTTGCTTCTGTTGGGCACCTGGGAATATTAAGAACTTCATTTTCATGTTTTTCACACTTACAACAATTGAATTGTATCTTACAAAAAGTTAAACCCACAAGTCTTGAGCTACAGAGTCAGCTCAAATCTTAACTGGAGAGAGAGAAAATTGGCACAACGTCTGCCATGCAGGAGTCAGGACCTGAGCTTGATCTCTAACCCTGATACACCAACACCCCAGCACCAAGGAAGCAAAGACAGGAGTATCCCTGCAGCTCACTGACCAGTCCACCTAGCTTATTTGAAAGACCCAGGTCCCAAGGAGAGACTGTGTCTCAAAAACAAAACAAAACAAACAAATAAAAAACAAGAGGGGGCTGGGAAGATATCTCAGTGGATAAGATCATTTGCTACATAAACACAAGAACCCAAGTTCATAACCTCAGACCCCATGTAAAAAGCGGGGGGGTGATTGGTCGTGCCTGTAATCCCTTCTGCTGGGGTGGTGGGGTGGAGACAAGCGGTGGCTGGGGCTTGCTGGCTGCCACTCCAGGTTGTGTGAGAGCCTGCCTCAAAGAAATCATGTGGCGAACACTGGGCATCAGCACGCCATCTGGCTTCGACACACGTGAAATGTTAGACAACAGGACTGTGCAGTATTGTATATGTGTGTATTTGTTGTGGACATGTGCATGCACCCACACATATTTGTGTACACTACACATGTATAACACACACACACACACACAGTGAACATCTCTTAAGGAATGACAGACAGGTCAATCTCTGGTCTCCATATACCTGTACACATGCACACTCATCCATATACGTGAACACATAAACACATACATAATATATAAGACTTATAAGTACAGTTTGATGAATATTTGACACAATATTAAAATTTGGTATTATGGGAAACATATAGTAAGGTGAATTAATAGTTTTCCCCCGTAGGATCTCACTGTGTAGCCCAAGCCAACCCTGAACCCAGGACTCACCTATCTTATCCTTGTGATGCTGGGGTTACAGGTATGCACCACCACACCTGGCAAAGTACATTAATTTTGAACGCACATTATAATAGGTGTGCATATGTGTAACTCTCATCTAAATTAAGAGAGAATTCTTAGCAGGCAAAGGAAATCTCTTCCATCCAGAGAGGAAACCACTGTTCTAATGGCTACCGATTCACTGATCTCCTATGAAATGGTATGTGTAGTATTGTGTATGTGCGTATTTGAGTGTGTACATGTGTGTATGTGTGTGTGTATGAGACCTGGACCAGAAGGTCATTCTTCAGTGACTGATTCCTGAGAGAGGGAAGGTCAGAAAATGGGAAGATAGGAAATCTGGAGTCTGGAGATATTGCCTGTGCTATGTAATATGCCAAAGCATGCTCCTAGTTTAAGACCAGGACCTGAGTTCCTTCTCCATACATCAGGGCCTCAAGGAAAGTCTCACATCAGCCTAGCTCCCAGCATGTGTTTATGTGGCTGTGTGTGTGTGCATGTGTGTGTTTATGTGTGTGCATGTATGTGTGTGTTTATGTTGTATTTGGATGTGCTTGCTTATACAGGCGTGTGGTGTGGTGTGGTGCGGAGGCCAGAGGCCAAGGTCAGGTGTTCTCAGTAGCTTCTCTACTTGGGTCCTGAGCTTGGAGTTCACTGATTTACATAGAATGGCTAACCCGTGAGTCCAAGGGTTGCAGCTTCTTGGGCCGGGGTTATAGGTACACACACCCTAGCCCCTCAGGGGTGGTAGGGATCTAGACTCAGTCTGTCATGCTTGCACAGTAAGCATGTGTGGTGGGACTCTGGATTCAGTCTGTCATGCTTGCTTGCACAGTAAGCATGTGTGGTGGGACTCTGGATTCAGTCTGTCATGCTTGCGCGGTAAGCATGTGTGGTGGGGATCTAGACTCAGTCTGTCATGCTTGCTTGCACAGTAAGCGTGTGTGGTGGGACTCTGGATTCAGTCTGTCATGTTTGCTTGCGCGGTAAGCGTGTGTGGTGGGGATCTAGACTCAGTCTGTCATGCTTGCACAGTAAGCATGTGTGGTGGGACTCTGGATTCAGTCTGTCATGCTTGCGCGGTAAGCATGTGTGGTGGGGATCTAGACTCAGTCTGTCATGCTTGCTTGCACAGTAAGCGTGTGTGGTGGGGATCTAGACTCAGTCTATTGTGCTTGCACCGTAAGCTATCTCTCAGCCCACCGTGTAGCATTCCTTATCCTGGTGTTCTGTGAGACTCACTCTTGCATCATCCATGGTGATAATTTGGCCTCCTCATTTCTGAGCACCATCTACTGCATGAACATACTACAGTTCACTGATACTGTCTCCTGTTGATGGACTTTTGGTAGTTTCCAGCTTGTCACTATTACAAGTAAAGCTTCCGTGAAATTCTGGTAAAGCAATTTCCGTGAACACAGGACTTCTTTTTGTTGGGTAAATACCCAGGAAATCACCTGGAAATGGAGTCCATGGATACTGGCTGGGATGCTGCTGCTAATATTTTCTCAGGTGGCTATGACAAATTCCTGAGATTTTTCAAGGGCTCTGTGTCCTCAATGGCACTTGGCATGGACAGTCTTTAAATCTTGCCGTTCTGATAAGTCTGTAATGGGGTTTAATTGCGGTTGTAATTTGTATTTTCTGGTAATGATGACATGAAGCTGTTTTTTACATAGGTTGGTAACACTGACCAATTTGATTTGTGTTCATGTCCGTCCCCTCCCCCCTTCCCCGGATTTAGGATTAATTGGAATTCTCTGGAAAAGTAAAGTATCTCCTTTTCTCATCTATGACCCTGCAGCCTCACTGGGATAGTGGTGTGCTTCTCAGGCAATTAGAAGACGATCTGCTGTGTGGTATGCCGCATCTCCAGAGCAGAAACTTCAGCTGCGGCCAGTGCCGAGCCACCAACTGAACAGTTTATAGCATCTGCACACAGTTAACAAACGGCTCCTGCACGCCTGGAAGGGACAGCTCCAGGCCACCATTGAGTCTGCGGCAGAACCTCTAATGAAACTAATTGATATTTCTGCACCCAAACACGTAAATATTCACACTAATTGGCATAAAACGGTTTCATATCCATCGAGGTCAGATCTTTGCCTACAAATGAGTCAACCACCAATTAACTGCAAAGGAGCCTTCTGCCTACAGGGATCCTTGGGTTTCACACTGCAGGAGAAGGATGATGGGTCTGCGTCACTCTGCAGATTTGGGGTAATGTGCAAAATTCTCTCAAAGTTTTGTGCATAGTGGTGATAATGATTTTGAGTGAAATGGTCTTCAAGGTCCCTTCGAGTCTTAGAAATCCATAGCCAAACTGTGGAGGAATAGACTGGGCCTGGTGATGAGCACCTGTGATCCCAGCTCTGGAGGGGTGGGGAACTGAGGCACGAGGATCAAAGACTGAAGGCCAGCGTCACGAATAATAAAAACACAGAGATATTGTGGTTCAAACTGAACTCCTGTCTCCTCCTGCCTTATATTCCTCTCTAGTGCTGGGATTAAAGGCATGCACCACCACCACCCAACTTCTATGGCTAACTAGTGTGTCTGTTGGGATTAAAGGTGTGTGCCACCACTGCCCAGCCTGTATGGCTGACTAGTGTGGCTAGCTTTGCACTCTGATCTTCAGGTAAGCTTTATTTGTTAGATCATAAACAAAGTATCACAAGCTTCAGCCACTTAGTGAGTTCAAGGTCGATCTAGGCCACATAAGTCCCTGTCTTAAAGACGAAACAAATCAACAGTCACAGTGACTGAGGGAAGGGTGTCACTTTCTTCAGTGTGACAAATTGCAAACTGAGGTTATTGAAGAAATGGGGTTTCTGGTCCCTTCCCGGCTGCTGGTGGGGGCTTCGTCATACCCAGGACCCTGTGTTCGTATCTCTAAGCAGCCAGTGTCGGTTAATGTAGAGGAAGTTTGTAGCGGCACGACTGAGTGCCAAGGTGGCTCCCTCCTCCACCTTGCTCATCTAAGCCTATCAGGTCACTGTGCCTGATCTCTAGAACTTTCAGTGTTTTGGGTTTTGTATCTAGATCTATATTCACCATGAATCGCTTTTTGTATGGTAGTCAAGATCTCATTTTTTTAGTATGGATATCTGGTTTTGGCAGCTCTTATCCCTCCCCCCGTTTCAGAAGAGCCTCACTAGCCGGGTTGTGGGTCTGGTCTGGTACTCTATTCCGCACCTCAAGTTTTTGAACTGTTGTTTCACTTATCTACTTACTGAAGTCAGTTTTCTGTGTGCAAATGTATGTGTGTGATACACATGGTGTTTGCAGGTACACACACTTGTGTGTAGAGGCCCCAGGTCTATGTTGTGTTGACTTTTACTGCTCACTGTCTTATTTCTTTGAGACAGGGTCTCTCAGTAGACCCAGAGCTCACTGAGTAGCTAGACTGGCTGACAGGTGAGTCCGTTTGTCTCCAGCACTGGTATTATAAGAGTGTGCCGCATACCTGGCTTCTTAAGTGGATGTTGCAGATCCAAACCCTTGTGCTTGCACAGTAGGTACTTTACCCTCTGAACCATCTCCCTAGCCTGCTGTGGGACGATCCTTCCGTACGCTGTGAATATGCATTACTCTCATTGGTTAATAAGAAAGTTGTTTGGTCTATAGCAAGGCAGGATAAAGTTAGGCAGGACAATCAAACTGAGGACTCAGATGAAGAAGGGCGAAGTCAGGAGAGATGTCAGTGAGCCACCAAAGAAGCAAGATGCTGGAGGACCGGTAAAGCCATGAGCCACGTAGACTAATAAAAACAGGTTAATTTAAAAGTAAGAGCTAGTTAGTAATAACCCTGAGTTATTGGCCAAGCATTTTGTACTTAATATAAGCTTTTGTGTGATTATTTGGGACCAGGTGGTCTAGACAGGAAAACTCTGCCTCTGTCTACACCACTCCTGACTGTAATGTGAGTTTGCATTTTAAATTTCATCTTGCAATGATAGTAGATTGCATGTGATCTGGGAGGGAAAACGGTGCTTCCGTGCTTTCTTTACCAAGTGGTTCCCTAAGATCCTGCACACCCCCAGCATGACATCACACCCAGGATGGGGACAGAAGGGCACTACTGGCCTTACTCAGTGTCTCCAGCTCTGCATGTACTAGTTTTGCATGTGTGTGCTTCCTCCTGTCATCCCTGCCCCCTGGTCATCACCAATCCACCCTCTGCTTCTCTGATTTTGTCATTTCAAAAATGCTACTTAAGTGGGAACATAACATATGAATTTTGGCCTTTTTGAGATTGTTGTATATTCCCTTGAAAGTCTGTGGTGGTGAGTGTATCTGTGTTCACTCCTTTTTTTTATTGCCAAGTAATATTTCTTTTTCATTTTGTTTTACCTTTTTTTTTTTAAATTTTGGAGTCAGGTTCTTATATGATAGCCCGGGTTGACCTTGAACTTGTAGCAACTCTCGGCCTCTGCCTCCTGAATGCTGGTATTACAGACATGAGGCATTATCTGGCCCAATATCCTAGAGTAGCCTCAAATGCTGTATTCTGTGGTAATTGTATGATTACTTTTTTTTCTTTTGGTGTTTTTCAAGACAGGCTGTCCCAGAACTCATGGTGATCCACCTGCCTTCTAACTGGAAGGATTAGAGATGTGTGCCACTACTCCCAGCTTGCTTACTTATTTTTAAGAAACTTTTTTATGTATGTGTGCCTGATGCTAAGGATGGTGCCCAGAGTCTCCACGTGCGCTCAGACACTGAGCTGCAGCCCCAGCATAGGCCTTCAGTATTTTTTTAAAGAGCTGTTTAGGTTCATAGAGTTGAGCCAAAGATAAAGTGTTTCCAACATCCTGTCCTTCCTGTGTGGATGATCCCACTTGTTACAATGGATACTTAGTTGACACTGTTTACAAGTGTTTCACTGCGGGTATGGTGCGTTCCCTGAATCTGACAGATTCCTAAGGACCTACATCCACCATTGTACTATCAAATGGAGAATGTTTACTGCCCCAAAAATACTCCGTGCTGTCTAGCTCATCCGTGCGTCTCCCCCAACCCCTGGCAACCACTGGTCTTGTTCTTGTCTCTATGGTTTTGCTTTATCCAGACTGTCCTACGGTTAGAAACATACAGTGCAAAGCTTTCTTGGGGTCATGTTTTCACTCAGTTATGGACATTGCAGACTCTACTGAGTCTGCCTTTTATGACTAGATCCTTCCCCTTCTAGTACTGAATACTATTCCACTGATTGGCTGTGCTGTGGCTTTCTTGTTCATTCCTTCATTGAAAAACATCTTGCTTGCTTCCCAGTTTTGGCAGTCATGGGCAGTAAACATTCATGCACATTTTTCTGTGTGGACACGTTCTTATCCCTGTGGCTCATACCAAGGGCACAGTTGCTGGGTTACACGGGAAGGCTGTGTTCTGTTTGTGAGAAGCCACCCGACTATCTTCCCTAAGTGGCTTACCATTTAGTCTTCTCGTCAGCTGTGCATGTCCCCTCAGCATCAAACCCTTGCCAGCATCTGGCAGCAGTGTTTTTGATTTCTGTCATTCTAATAGACATGTCTGTAGAGGTAGATGGCATTGTCATGTTGATTTGTAGCCACTGAACAAATACAATACTGAACAGCTCTCATGTGTCTACAGCCTGCCTTCTGCGTGCCTTTTGGTTGGGTCACTGTTAAGATTTTGCCTATTTAAAAAAATCAGGGGAGGGGGCAGAGTGGTACGCCGGACTTTAATCCAACACTTGGGAGGCAGAGGCAGGTGGATCTCTGTGAGTTCAAGGCCAGTCTGGTCTACAGAGTGAGATTCTGTCCCCTACCCCTGCAAAAAAAAAAAAAAGAGGTAGAGGAAACAGTGAGATGATTCAGTGGGTAAAGGCACTTGCCCCCACGTCTGATGCCTGTGTTTGACCCAAGGAATCCATTGGTAAAAGGAGAGAACTGGCTCCTGTGGTGATATATTTTATGATTTAATAAAGCTTGCAGGTGGTTCAGAATGCAAAGCTAGCCACAAGCCATGGAGCTAGGGGGTGGTGGCACACACCTTTAATCCCAGGGCTCAGAAGACAGGCAGATGGATCCATTAGTTAGTTTAAGGCCACACTGAGCCACACGAAATTGATCCCATCCTAAAGAGAAACAGCTCACACAAAGGTGATCTCAGCACTTGGGATCACATGCCTTGAATCCCAGCATGAGGGAGGTATAAAGGGAAGAAGCAAGGGTCTCATGTGGAGATTTAGTTTCCTGACAGGGAGAGCTACTGCCTCTGAGGAGTCACACGAGGAGCATTGCACTCTGAGGGTTTGTGGAGACAGGGGCACTCTTTCAGTCCGAGGCAGAGGTGAGAGCTAGTGGCTGAGTGCTTTGTTTAATCTCACCATCAGCTGGGTTTTTATTTTTCATGTTACAAGCTCCCTCAAGTTGTCCTCTGACGACCACATACTCATGGTGGTACACTAACCCCCCCATACACTTTAAATAAATGAACGTCATCTTAAAAAAATCAAGTCGGGCTCAGCAAAATGGTTCAGAAGGTGAAAGTACTTGCTGTGAAAGCTTGAGGCCTTGGTGGAGCCCTGGAATCTCTTAACCGCTGAGCCATCTCGCCACCCCCTAAATTCACGTAAATTTTTACATGTATATATGATGTATGTGTGCTGTATGTCTCATACATATGTGCATGTCTCTGTTCGTGGATATTCATATGTGAGTGTGGGCACACATGTGCCATGGGACACATGTGGAAGTCAGAGGACAACCTTGCGTGTCAACCTTTAATCTTCCACCTCACTTTATTTGGGGTCTCTTGCTGTTCACTGATGCTAGGCCAGGCTGGCCCACGAGCATCTGGGGATTCCCCTGCCTCTGCCACCAGTTTTTGTCATGGACGTCCTGCAGTTACAGATACACACTACCAAATCTGCACCTATGCTTGCACGGCAAGCACTTCATCTACCATACCATACCATTTCCCCAGCCCCTCAATCCACTTTCAAATGCTAATGTTTTACAAATTCTTTAAGATTTTCTACATGTACAGTGTCATCTTTGAAAACTTGTATTTTTCTTCCTCTGTTCCAATTTGTACATTTTCTAGCCTTATCTCATTGGCTATCACACAACACTGAATAAGTATAGTGATGGTAGACTAGTCATCTAGAGGGAAAACATTCTATTTCCCAATGATAAGTATGATGCGGGCCATAGGCTTTCATAGATGCTCTTCATAAAATCCCTAGTATAATAAAAATTGTAAATTATTAATAGGTGTTGAATTTTACCAAGTATTGCTACATTTCTTGGAGTCATTACTTTTAGGCCATTCCATTAAGATGGTGAATTAGGGATGATGAGATGGCTCAGTGGGAAAAGTTATTGATCAGCCTCCAAGCCTGACAACCTGGGACCTCCATGACGGGGGAATTGACTCCTGCAAGTCATCCTCTGACCTCCACATGTGCTCAATGGCGTGCCCCCTGCATCACA